GTAAGATCTTGTTGTTTATCTATTGTATATACAGAAGGTTGTATCTGCTAATCCAAAATCCCTACTTTATCCCTCCCTTTTCCTCTTTGGTAACCATAAATTTGTTTTCTATGCCTGTGAGTCTGTTTTTGTTTCATAAATAAGTTCATTTGTGGCCTATTTTAGGTTCCACATATAAGTGATATCATGCAGTATTCTTTCTCTTTCTGATTTCCTTTACTTAGTATGATAATCTCTAGGTTCATCCATGTTGCTTCAAATGACATTATTCTTTTTTATGGCTGAGTTATATTCCATTATACCACATCAATTTTATTTTATTTATTGTTTTAATTTTATCAGAGTATAGTTGACTTATAATGTGTTAGTTTTAGGAGTAAATACAGTAAGTCCTGGCTGGTTATCTATCTTGTAAATTCTACTGGGAAGTTCCTGTTCAATCAGGCTAGGGCTAATAGCTGTTCTGGTTGTAGGCAGAAGTTTGTTTGTTTTTAACTTTTATTCTCATATAAGTTATTTCACCCATATCCCTAATTTGAAATACCACAATTCTAGTCTCTCTAGTGTCCTAAGTGCATATAATCATGAAGATTTTATTCACACAAGAATCCAAATGTGGTCCAGCCACCTTTTCTATAATCTCTATTTTTTCACAAAGCACATTTTCCTTCCCCAAGAGCAAGCTTATGGGTCCTTGGCCACTCAATCTTGTGCACAGTTTCTGGTTTTCCATGATAACAGTATCACAGAGAATTTCCAGAGCTTTTTCTCTGTGGGCTCCCACTGATTTGTGAATTACTTGCAGGGAAAAATCCTGTATTTTTATAAAAGTATGCTAGATATCTATCATAAACTATATTAAGCAGGTAAAAAAAATACCATGGAAAGGAAGAAATGCATCTACTTTTTAAAAATCATTACAGTAGTTCTTTATATGAGATATTTCTCAGTTAAAATAGCTCTTAGTAACTAAAAATAAATAAATACATAAACTCTGTGTAGGCAGATTAATAGCTATGTAAAGTGCATCAGAGTTTACCAGGGCAAAGGAGGAGGAGAAAACTGGAAAATATTGCCTAATTGGTAGAGTTACCTTTTGAAACAATGGAAAAGTTTTGGAAATCTGTTGGTCATGGTTATACCACATTGAGAATGTAATTAATATCACTGAATTGTGCCCTTAAAATTTGTCAAAATAACAAATTTTATATATATTCTACCACAATAGAATTTTAAAGTGAGTCATTTGCAAAAGAAAAGCATGGAAATATTCAAGATAACTAAATGAATATTTTCTAAAAAGAAAATCTTTCCCAAATAGAGAAGTCATAAGAGAGAGTACAGAAATTAGTCTTGGAAACAAATATGATTGTAGCAATATATTTTTTTCATTCATTCTTATTTAAGAAACATACTACTACAACAGAAATAATCATTAGATAATGCAACAAATTAAAAAACTGAATAACTGAATTATTATAAGAAAGCTGCATTTAAATAAACATATCTCCAGAGTTGAAATGCTGTACGCATCAGAGCCCAATTCTCACTGTTGATCACAGACATTCAGTTCAGTCACTCAGTCATGTTTGACTCTTTGCCACCCCATGGACTGCAGTACGAGAGGGTACCCTGTCCATCACCAACTACTGGAGCTGACTCAAACTGATGTCCATTGAGTCGGTGATGCCACCAAACCATCTCAAACTTTGATGTCCACTTCTCCCGCCTTCAATATTTCCCAGCAGCAGGGTCTTTTCCAATGAGTCAGTTCTTCATATCTGGTGGCCAAAATGACTTTCAGCTTCAGCATCAGTCCTTCCAATGAATATCCAGGACTGTTTGCTTTAGGATGGACTGGTTGAATCTCCTTGCAGTCCAAGGGACTCTCAAGAGTCTTTTCTGACACCACAGTTCAAAAGCATCAATTCGTTGGAGCTCAGCTTTCTTTATAGTCAAACTCTCACATCCATACATGACTACTGGAAAAACCATAGCTTTGACTAGATGGACCTTTATGGGCAAAGGTTTCTGCTTTTTAATATACTGTCTAGGTTGGCCATAACTTTCCCTCAAAGGAATAAACCTCTTTTAATTTCATGTTTGAGTTCACCATCTGCAGTAATTTTGCAGCCCCCCAAAATAAAGTTTCTCACTGTTTCCATTGTTTCCCCATCAATTTGCCATGGAGTGATGGGACCAGATGCCAAGATTTTAGTTTTCTGAATGTTGAGTTTTAAGCCAACTTTTTCACTCTCCTCTTTCACTTTCATCAAGAGGTTCTT